GCACATTTAAATTAAAATTTCGTTAATCACATGATTAATATCTTGTAAAACGTATTATATTTAACTTGACTCAGCAGTATTACACAAAACCTCTAAATTTTATAGTAATGGAGACTTCCGATAAATAACAATGTAATCATAATTAGATAATTAGTCCAAAAATGTAGATTTAAATTTTCTTTTTAGTGTCATTTTATTTGTCAGGATCTTTGTAAATCCTCTTCTCTGCATTCTTATAGATAGGGGTTCTTTTCTAAAGGGCGCAAGATGCAACTCTGTGATGTCTTTCTCCAAAGGAAAGTAGATTGCAAAATTACCACCATCAAGTTTTCTTCTTCGTCCTAATACTATAATCTATTGTTACCTACCATCTGTCAGAAGAAGCTAAATTATCTTTGTACCACCTGTTTCCTCACTGAATTGAGAAATTACAACATTCATCCCAATCACAGATAACCTTTACTTCTCGGCCTTTCTTTTTTACTTGTTCTTTGATAAACAATGCAGGCAATTGATGTTGATTAAGTAAATAAACTGCATCACCCAAACAATAATACTAATAATAATAAAGTTTTGGTATTAGGTTTGATGACTTGTTATTGGGGAAAGTATATTACTATACCTAGGAACACTCTAACCCAATTTCAAAAACCTACTGGATTACATTATAGGAAATTCTCCCAAATGAAAATTAAAAAAATTCAAAAAGTTCAATCCTTAAAGTAATTTAGATATCCAGGCGTTGGGTAAATGTATTGCTACACACAGAAACATTCTGACCCAACTTTGCTTCTGGAATTTGGATTTCAAAACCCACAGGATGGTTGCTAAATACCAAGTGTACTAGATCGAGCGTGGTGTAAGGCGTTCTTTGAAAGTTAGGTTACTAATTGAATACAATAACTACATATAATTAAAGACGGAGGAGTTATAATTGTTATTTTACTAGGCTTTTTGGGATCAATTATTTCAACTGAAAACCATGCTGATAGCTTATAATATTTTTTTAAAAAAATATTAATATGACGACGAAGTGTCCTGCAAAATAATTGCAGGATACAAATTCAATACCACAGTTCAAGCTTGACTGGATTGAAGATCCAATGCGCAGTTTATGTATGAATATTAGTAAACTTGATATTCTTTTGATGACGATATTATTATATAATGAATTATATCAACATTTTTTTTTATGATACAAAAATCCCTATCCAATAAATTATTTCAGGATATTAAACATCGAGCAACCTGGTGAGTAGTATAGTAGAATACCCATCTTATTCCATCTGCAAGAGTTCCATGTGCATTCTAATTTCTGGCGATTAAATCAAACGAGTTTGGTGGGATACACGGATATATGAACAAAATGCAAGGATTCCCCTTTCCGCGTTTGGCTTCAAGGACAGTAAACAATGCATATCCTTTGAAACCAAAGTTTTAATCTGTGTAAATTGATATAATAAAACTTTCGACAATAGCACTTTTCTTTGCTTTAAAAGGTAGTTGTTCTTTTTCATTCTTGTCCTTTTACCATCTGACGTATCATTTTGGTCTTTAGTGAAATATTTTCTATTTTTCTTTTTGTCATAATACATAATAAGTACATGAAATTTAAAATGTTCTACTGTGAATTTATTTTGGTGATATGGAGAAATGAGAATTTATTTTAAAAAAAAGACAAGTCAGCTTTAATCTAATCACAAGTAAATAAATCTTTTTTTTAGAGGGTCTGAGACACTCTTCTCTATTTGATTTTCTTTTATTATTATTATGGAAGGTTTTTCTTTGATTGATTTTATAAATTATAATACAAATAAATAGATGGATGACAATTTATAAACTTTATAATTTGCCAAGATTATCTTTATAAAAAAAAAAATCTTGATTTCCATTTTTTTATAATTGATACGCGCGAATATGACAAGATACCAATCATGATAACAAAAAAGAATATTTATATCAGCATCATTTCCGCAAGACAACATTTGATAGATGTAGCACATTGGTCAAAATATTTGATCCAATTTAAAATATTTTAACCATTAACTTGATTGATTATTGCTTAAAAGATTGAAAAGATAATGGTGATGATGGTCTTGATTGATTGAATCGAGATTTAACAATGTATTTGGAAATTATATTTTTTGAAGTATTAATATAGATAGGTAACAAGAATAATGGTTTGATACAAGGTTGGCAATAGACCCAGGTCCATCGAGACCAACGAGTTTTGGTCTAGTCCATTGCCATTGATAAAACACTAAATATGGTTAAAATGAACAGTTGTTCAGTAGGACCCGGTTATTAGTATTAGTATTAGAAAATTTTTACCTCTTTAGCATATAACACGTCAAATAAAATTGATAACTTTGAATCTTTACAAAAATCTTTTTACTAATATAAATGAAAAAAATTCTCGGGCAGGCTGTTAATTGGGTGTTTGGAAATACAATTGCGGAAAGATTATTCCCACAGCTTGCTTGGTTATCAAGCCTTTACATTTTAAAATTTATCTAAATTTCCATTAATCAATAAAATTGATAATATTAATGTGAATATATACTTTAATTGGAGTCAAAAGATGTTTTAATTTTAAAAGCCATAATAATAATTTATGTTTTTCATATACGTTGTGCGAACAGCACCTTTTGCAGATGTACATTATTTATTTATTTAACTTTATTTAGTAGAAGAAATTAACATAGATTTAGTACTTTGCATTTAAAGCACTATTTCGGGATTAAGTTGCTGGCTGAATCGGGAATTACATGAGAAGTGCATCGCTGAATAATAATTAAAGTGCAACATTGTAATTAAAGTACTGAATAGTAATAAAAGTGCTACTAATTAATTCAATTGTATATAATTGTACTTGAAAAATAATTTTGTAATAAGTTAGTTAAATAAATACTTTCTTATAACTTAAATCACTAAACAAAATTATTCATTAATAAAAACTAATTTGTTAGCCTCCCAATCATAATTGCATAAATATAATGAAGGAGATAAATTATTACCTAAACTAGTTGATGAATTAGCTTGTTCAATAATTTTTTTTAGTGGACGATTTATATAGAATGATTCTTGATGATGTTTATAAGTTTTTTCATCTGACAAATATTTTTCTGAAGTGATAATTTCTTGACGTTTGTCTTCTGCCAATTCAATACTTTCTTTTCCTTCTTTATAACGACAATATTTACCTAAACATTTACGAATTTCGCTAAAATCGGGTCGATTTTCTGGCATGGGATCCCAACATTTTTTCATTAAATCAGCATAGAATTGGGGTGTGTCCTCAGTAACTTCAGGCCGTTTTCCTTTCAAAATATCCAAAATAAGTTTAAAATTATGTGATCTATCATAGAATGGTTTTTTTCCTGTAGTATATTCCCACATGATCATACCAAAACTATAAACATCTGATTTTTTTGTATATGGTTTTTCTGATAATACTTCAGGTGCCACATATGGCATGACTCCAAAGATTTCATCTGGATGTTCTGTTTTATTTATTACTTGTTGACACAACCCTAGATCACCTACAACGCACATATCACTTTTATATGAAAAAATATTACCACTGTGCAAATCATGATGAATGTAATCATTATCATGAATATTCTTTAATCTAATTTATAAATAAATAAATAAATTAAATCATTTATTTATTTTAATAAAATATGATAAATTAATAAAAATTACCCATCCGAAATTTGAAAAAGAGATGCAATTTTATCTTTCCAAGTAATTTTTTTAAAACTTTTTGATAAATGGGTATGTAAATCTCCACGTGGGGCACGCTCAAATACCAACATGTAATTATTTTCATTTGGATCTTTTGTAATTCCAAAACATTTATTAACAGAAAAATAAAGTTTATCATTTGCTTTTAACTAAAAGGTTGTAAAATAATATTTGTTATGATTTAATAATATTTATGAAAAATAATATCTCAAATTTTTACCTCATTGCAAATGTCTGAAATATAATTTATAGAATTAGAATTATTTAATTTTTTCAGCACAACATTTTTTTCCTCAAATGTCTTAAAAACTGGATCACAAAAGTTAATCCATGTTGCTTTATAAACCTTACTAAACCCGCCTTTGCTTAAATAGTCCATATCTTTAAATTCAACAAATGGAATCCATTTAACAGTCTTCGAATCTGTTTTATATTGATAAAGAAATCTATCTATTTCTTTTCTATATTTTTTAGTTGAACAACTATCGCACAATACTTCACTGTTTAATTGGTCATCTAATTCTTTTACTATTTTTAAACTAATATTTAAGGGTTCTTTCAATAGGTCAATTAATTTATTAAGCAAGCCATCATACTTATTATCACAATAAATGCAATTATTTATTATATTTAATACTTTAAACAATTTGTTTGATAAATCAATCAATCCAACTAACGCTTCGCCATTTATTTTTTTTAATTCATTTAGCCTATTATTTAATTCATCAACTTTTAATTTTAATTTGTTGGCTTTTAATTTGAGTTCATTTATTGTTTTTGATTTATTATTTAATTTGTAATCAACAACAAAATTAGTGACGATCTTTAGCTCAGCACAATTTTCAGACAACTGATCTAAGGAAGCTTGGTAATCACCATGATACAAAGTTGGTAAATATAAATATTTTAAATTTTGACAAGTTATTGCGATTTCTTCGATAAAAAGCCCAAATGAACTTTCGTCAGGATTGCCTTCAATGACAATGATTTTTAGGTTCGACCCATTTCTGCTAATAAACCAAATAAGATCATCTATAGTATCTTCTACGTTAAACTGAACATGAAATTCTTCGAGTTGTGGAAATTTAGCATCCCTGAAACTAGTCATTGAAATATTCCAATCATCGTAATGATTAAATAGGTCCAATTTTTTCATGTTTGTGAATTCTGCTCCTTCTTTCAACATTTCATCCATAGTGTGAATATAGCCTTTGAATTCTATTAACGAGCCTGATTTACCCAATAATGCCTCCAATGTAGTTCTAAATAAAGAGCAATCTTTTTCTACAAAAAGATGCATTATTCTTAATTTAGATTGCCTATTTATCAGTTCACCTAATCCATCGTCAACTCCATTTTCTTTTATGCCAACAGTTAATTTTTCAATTTTATTAACAATTCCAACAAACTTTTTCAATAACTTGGGAGAATATGCATTATCGTAATGGAATTCTTTGATGTATTCAAAGTGAAGTTCTGGATTTTCATGAAAGTTATTTGACAGATAAGGGATTAAATCACCTAAATAAATTTCCTTGATTTTGGCAAATTTTAATATCAGATTTACCAAATTTTTAATTAATAAATTTGTGTTTTCATTTACTAAACCCTGGAAGTGTCCCTTAAAAATGGCCAACCTTTTAATGAATTTTGCGTAATTGTATAGAGGGGGTTTTTCTAACAGCTCGAAGTTTAGTTGAACGTCATCTTCTCTTAAAAGAGTGCCGGGTTCTGAAAAGTGTATTAAACAGTTTATCAATATTTTAATACTGCCTTTTGATTCAAATGGTTCTCTCCATAAAAAATTTATACAGCAGTTACTCCAACACCTATTTACTGAACAACAAGAAACAAGAGTTGGTTTGTCCCCTTCCAAGTACACGTATTTAAAAATTTCAGTTAATAATTCTGATGATAATAGGTTCATTGTTTTACTTTTTTTTCGTCAAGCTTTAACACTTTTCTTATATATATACAAAAAAATTTATTTGAATTCTAAAAATATTAAAACTTTTAAAGTTTATTGTTACTGGTAAAGCGGATCCGATTGAATATTATTAAAGAACACTATTACTATAACAGAAATTCCATTTTTCTGATCTTCTATAGAACAAACAATTAGAAAAACATCAAAGAAAAAAATGATTGTTTCATGTGTTAACTTCGGTGAAATCCGTACAAACACTTATTTTTATCGTAATTGTAAATTTACTAATTTAGAGAATGATGTGCCATTTATTTGTTAAACACTTTCAAAATATTCTTTATATTCATGGAATATTCTCTTCAAACTTATACACTACATGGACAAAAATCATATTGTAGTATAGTTTCATCAAATTGTTTGTGCAAAATTTCATTTTTATAACATTTTTATTGAACTAACAATTAAAAAATCAAATTTTTTTGTCAAAACAATGCTCGCTTGAAAAAAATTATGCTTATTTTTACGAAATACGAATTCCAATAAATTAAATAACACTCAAATAATAACCAAAATGCTACTTAAAATCAAAGATAAATGATAAATGATAACGGTAGTAAATAATAATAATAATAATAAAAACGATAATACCAATAATAAAATGAATAATAAATAATATAATGAAAATGCTAATATGATCATAAAAAATAAGTGATGGGTTAGTGAAGGTTACTGCCAATCTCCGCCACCACTATACGAATCCAATAAAACTCCTCTATTAACATCAACATCAATATCATCAGCATCGTCAGAATTATCCGAATCATCCTCAACAACAACAACAACAACACCTGCTGTATTTCATTGGTCGATTTGAGCAAAGTTCGATCAATATTTGCTGGAAGATTATTCTCGATTATCTTTAAATGATATCTGGAGTGACGAAAGTAGCTTATGTTTATCGAATTATTTGCGCAAAATTTCATTTCCATAAAATTTTTATTAAACTAATACAGTGTTCAAAAAAATCAAACTTTGATCAAAATTTCTCATTTCTTTGTCAAAAAAAAGATAAAACTGTCCACCAAAAAAATAATTAATAAATAAATTCATAAAGAATATATGTACGGTACGAATTCAGTATTTTGTTTGCCATCAATTATTGCTCCGACATACTCCCAATAAATTTCATTAAGACATCATTTAAAATTCGATAATATTTTCGGATTTTTTGGCGCATTATAATTCCTCTTTCCATTCTGACCACAAATGCTAATTGGATTCAAGTCAGGTGACTGGCTTGGCCAATTAGACAAAACGTTAACCTCATTTGTTGAAAACCAATTTTTTACGGCTCTTGCAGTATGAATAATCTTGGTACAAATGACCCTGTTATTAAATATTTTTCAGCCGAAGGTAGCAAATTGGTTTCTAGTATTTGTATAAAATTCCCTTAATTAATAACCGAAAACATACCACCAGTCAAACCCCAAAGAATACCACCCGAACCACAACGAGCCAATTCATCAGAAAGAACAAATTC